GAGGGCAAGAGGAGTAGAGGAAATCTTTTTATACTGTCCTCAACCACTCTCTGCAGGCGTTTGCGGTCCACGGTGGATGCGCTAGGGTGAAGCGGAGCACGTGTACAGAATAAACCCATAATGTTGCTCAAAGCACCTTTTGGCCTGGATGAGAAAAGTGCCACTTCTGCTGGAGCTCAATATTTTCCTAATTCCTCAATATGTAAGAATAAAAATGACTCTCTCTGTCATCAATTCCCCCTAAATGTGTTTTGGTATCTGACGGGGCATTTATTTGAATAAATCACTGAGCGGCTGCAGCGGTGTTTGTGCAAACCCCCGAGGTGGTTTGGTAATAAATTAACCACAACATACGCTGCTGAAAACATTACGCCACAACTTGTCCGACGTTTCCTAAAAAATAAACAAACAAAAAACTCATGAAAACGAATCCGTGATTTCAATGCCGTGTCCAGCTGTTTACTGACAACAGTGTCATGCTTAATGAAGAGATTTGATTTTTTGAAAAAAACTTTATTTCCTTTAAAACGCACAAACATGTCACATACACGACAACGCTGAGAAATTCAAAAGCTTGAGCTGCTCGTCGATCTGGACGCTGGCTCCACTCCTCAGTCATTCCCCACCAGCATCTCTTGCGTCAGCCGGCCAGGATCCACCCCCCCGTCCCCCGCCTCATTTATAAAACCTTGCGTAGGATTTGCGCCGGAAGTGGCGTACGGATGGAACGTAGCACGTGCGTACGCACAGAAATATTCAGACCTACAAAACCGTGCGCACGCACGTCCTACGCAGTTTTCCATTAATAAATCACAATCACTTCTAAATGCAGCGCAGCTTTTGCGGCTTCATGTCACGCCCATAGTTGCCCATATATAGTCTGTGGAACGCCCACAAACGAATATTCATCGATTGCGAAATCATGACAAACACTCAGAGGAAAACGAAGAAACATAACGTCACTCGGTGTGAAGTCGAAATGATCATTGGGAGGTGGAAAGGAGAAGTCTAATGCTAAGTTTGCCTTTTAGAAATACCAATTATTGCGTAGAGACTGAGCCTGAGCCTGGATAATCAAAAGTTCTTTTCATAGTTGGGGGTTTGCTGTCTTGTCTTGATTTAAGAGTTAGATAAGGGGGGAAGCAGGATGTGCCCAGCAGGCAGACGCGAATCTGATAAGATGGGGATTCCTGGCTGAGGAAGGCAAGTGTTGTATAGCCGGACACTGTGTAAAACAAAAAATGCTTACAAAAACATAATGCTTTTATTTGTGCACCAAGAGTCCTGCACCTCAACTAGTACTAGTACGACTGGTGTACTACTAGTACTGGTGTGCCACTAGTGACACCAGAATACCAGATAAAGATGTTTCCACTTGATATGCAAAGCTGTTTCCCTGTATAGAGATGACCGTAGATAACCTGATAACGCAAATAATGCCTCAACCGTTCGATGAACCCGCCTTGAAGTGTGAAGGCGTGTTTCGGTTCTGCTTTAAGGTGTGAAAACGTCTTCCTAAAAGATGCAAAATAGCGCAAATATTGCACGGTTCTGCTTTAGTAGCGCAAAGGACGCACAAACAGGCTTTGATCAAGTTTCCATACCGAGACTGTGATCGACGCAAGATAAACCCCAGTGACGCACATTGCTTCTGCAAAAGAAAGTATGTAAGCCAAGATGTTTTAACAAAAAAGGCAGTAGACAGAAGTAGACAGAAAAGCGCGCCTACTTCTTGTTTCTTGCTCACACTCAAAGACGGAGAGTCTAGCTCTTTTAACCTTTAGGGTTTGAACGATATAACTGCTTCTATTGTTTTTCTATTCATGGCGACCAATGCAGGGGGCGGACCCTGCGTACCTGTCCCGTAACAGACTTCGGCTTTCACGCGCACCTTACTCCAGTAGGGCCGAGATCCTCTTTGTGGCAGTGGCAAGTGGGTGGCAACTTTGTGGCAGGCAGCGGCAATCGCCAGTAAATCAGTCGGCGTCACGACGGCACGCTGGGTGGGAGGAGCCAAGTTTTCCCAGAATCAACTGTTATTTGTACGACAGGTCAGCTGCTGTAAATATTTTATTTTATTTTATTTGAGACACGTGAGCCCCCGTCTTCTTATTACAGAGGCTAATTTTAGGTTTGGACCGGCGGGTTCCGTGTAGGGGGTGGGGCTCTCAAGTTTGATGCCACTAACTTGCCACTGCCACAAAGAGGATCTCGCTGTCACTCCAGGCAAATTTCTCCTGACATCTGTGCACGGCGCTGAGTCACTGCGGAATGAAACCAGCGGCCACTTGTTGAACCGCCGCAGACTCACGGACCAGAACGCACACCAACGGAGACAAGTTCTGCGGGCAATTTTTGTCTTTTAGACCTTAAACTCGGAAAAGTCTGTTAAGGTAAACTGAAACATTAATACTTTTTAATGAATAATGCCAATAATTATAATCCTATTGACTGTATTAGTCTCCTTCTACTGTTGGTTATCATAACAGCAATGAAAATACAATAACTATTATGTTTTATTTTTGATTAATAATCAATCCTGAGGATAAAAAATATATATATGTTATTAATTTGTACGGCAGCCGTAACGTCTAACATAAAGACGAGCTTGGATTTTCCAATTCCAAACTGCTTTGTGCTTTTGATGATTGTTTGTTCAAACAACCTATTTGTTTATAAGAGTTTCCCTTATTTATTCTCAGTCAAGTGTAATTTACAAGGCTCAAGGTATCATTCCAGTTATAATGATGAATTAAACTAATTAATATTCACCACCGGAGCGCAGATGAGAGACCAAACGGAGTACAGTACAGTACTACAGTACTGTTAAAATGAAGTAAAAGATTGATGAAATTGTAATTACAATACCACACATTTATTGAACCTACTTCATAACATTCCGTCACTGACCATTATCCTTTTGTATTTCACCCCAGGCTTTATCTACAGGTTGGAGCGGCTTCCCATTCACACTGCCGCACCCAAGATGAAAACAAAAGCGCGCCTGCTCATTTTATTTTTGAGTGTTTCTGGCGTCTGTGTTTTTTGGAGAGAAGTGTCACAATACGTTCCGCCTCAGGAACAAAGATCCTGTGCTTGTGACCGATGTCTATTTGAAAATGATACGTTGGCCATTGAGCGTTTGAGGAAGTTTCCACAACCATTTTTATCCAGCAACTACAGTCTGCCAGAAGAGGATTTCAAATGGTGGAGGGTAAGTTGTGACCTAACAACATAACAGTCTCTCAACCTGCAGTTTAAATCCGGATCAGAAAGTAAAATACCTTCATGTTTGACAGCCGCATTTTGGGGATTCTCTCAGCTGTGTTATCCCCTGTGCTCCTTACCGGCCTGGGACCACTAGTAATGTTTGGTGCTCCTGACAGGTCATACAGCGTGGAGGCGGTAACATCAGTGAATACAGACAAAAGATGTCAAGGGTTTTTCAGCTGATCCCAGACAACCCTCCTCTTGAAGCATCCATCCCCGGCCACTGCAGGACTTGTGCTGTGGTGGGAAATTCACGTAATTTGTTAAAATCACATTACGGACCTCTCATAGATTTCCAGGACTACGTCATAAGGTAAATGAGTTGAAACAAGCATGAATGTTTTTCATCAAAGTCAGAAACTATGGTTCAAATCACATGTCAGATTTGTTCCCGACAATAACATTGACTTGTAAAATACATCCCTTTGTACCATTTAGAATCAACAGGGGTCATTCCAAAGGCTTTGAAGCAGATGTCGGGAACAGAACAACTCATCATGTCATGTACCTGGAGAGTGCTTCTCAGTTAGATAACACCACTCGTCCGGTGCTGTTTACCTTTAAGATACAAGATCTTGAATGGATTACGAGCGTCCTCAGCACACAAGCTTCTGGAAAGTGAGTCATGTTTTTCATTTCAGTTCTAGTCTAGATGCTACGGTTTGTCTTCTGAAGCTGATGTTCCAGCCTGCTAAAGTCCACCAGCGGTACTGAGGGAGGAGTTGTGTTTCATTTGTGGTGAACAGTAAATCAGTAACATTCAGGGCCACATAACATGTCACTGTTATCCAACCCACCGTTGTCATGAACTTTAATCTGATTGAACAGAGCACTATGAAATCCCTAGTGATTGTACAGCATAAAGCGACTCAACCCTCTTTGAATTGTATAGTATTAAGTTGTTAGTTTGTAGAGGTTTTGCATGGATTACTTCTCTAACGAGGCCGCCAACTCCAAACATGGCAGCGGGTTCATTTTAATAAATGCTACTAGCTTTGTATATTCCTCTGCATTCCCACCACCACGTTAGAGGAAATAAGCACGAGTGAAGACGGCCTCTGTTCACTTACAGGTACAAATACGCCACAAGCGTCCCTCACAACTGACCATCCGTTGGGAAAACCACTTGCTCCTGATACTAAGTAATATTTGCATAATAAAGCCTGTGCATGAAAAATCTTGCAGCATAATTTACATGAAATTCAAAAACGGAGTGCTGGTGGTAGTTTTTCTTTCATGTAGTTAAAGGAAAGAAGCTGTTTCATTGAATTTCTTTAAAAAGTTTCTATGTGAAATAAGACGGGTTCATTTAACCGCTGCTTTACATACAACCAATAGATGTTTGAGTTTGACATTTCATGCTTTTTTCCCCATGTGCCAAGAAAATCCTTATTCAACAAGGATTTGGTGAGTGTCATTTTTTGTACGTATTCAACAATAAATCTGCTCCAGAGGTAATGGTTGATAAAATACATTGAAAGACTAATTCTGATTTCATAACAGGCGATGGTCGTTAACCCAGCTTTTATGAGGAATATTCATCAAGTGTGGCTGCAAAAGAAGGGCGCTTATGCCTCCACCGGCTTCATGGCTTTGGCTCTTGCCCTGCACATTTGTGACGAGGTAAGTTTATTTTTAAATGGAGTGAATGTAAATCACTGATGATTACCGAGTGGAAGCTCATTCCGATAAAGAACAAATCACGTAATCTTGTTTCATTTAGTGCGATTTATTAAAGCCTCTATCACGTCTTCTGATTCTAAAATTGCTTACCAATGGTTTCCAGGTCCATGTGTTTGGTTTTGGAGCAGACAGTGATGGAAACTGGAGTCATTACTGGGATAAAGTCCCCGAACAAGAAATAAAAACTGGAGGACATCCTGGAAAAGTAGAGTATGAAATGATCGAGGAGCTGGCAAGTCATCAAATACTCAAATTCTATACAGGGAGGTAATGTTTCTCTCAGCATTTAACTTAATTAAGGCTTTACAACGGATCGCTTACCAAGCAAATTAATGCGAATGAAGCGAAGGAAGGCGACGCAAATTAACGACAAATTTAAATGGCTAAAGGTAAAGTCTTTGGAAGGTTGTTAGTAGAAGTGCATGCTATAGCTTTACGTTTTTTAGAGTTTTCCATTCATACAACCTCCGTGTTCTGACTCTACCACCCGAGTACTGAAGTTAAAGTCGAGACTCATCAGACCAGCCAACGCTCTTCCTGTCTTTTATTGGGAAATTTTGGTGCGCCTGTGCGCATTGTAGTCTGTTTCCTGTTGACATTCTATCCTCTCGAAGCGGTCTGTCCACTCTCCTCTGACGTCACACATCAACAAGGCTTTTTTGTGCTGCTCACTGGATATTTTCTCTCTTTCTGACTATTTTCTTCAAACCCCAGAGACCCTGATCCAATTTGCGTAACCATCAGTTCATCAGTTATTTAACATAACAGCCGAACAGCCCGTTTTTAATGTCACCAATGTGTTTTTTGGTTTGGTAATTCAGCTGTTATGTTGGAAATTGAGTCAGACAATAGATGACGCATTTCCCGTCAACTTGCTCAGCAACATCCGCGACAGAGTTAACGTTGGGATTTTAGAAAACAGTCTTTGGCAGATGAATGTAAGCCAATGATGTTCTATACAACTGTTTTGCCTCAACGTTTTGATCAATTTACTTTATTCAACCCGTGGTTTCCTTTTACGCCAGGTGAAGTGCCATTGTGGAGGCTGGCTTGAAGTCTTCTTTTTCTGTTTGCCTCGCTGTCTCTGTTCTTGTTTGAATATGTTCACAGTTCCTATCTATAATCATTCAAGATTAACTTTTATTTATATAAAATAGAAAAGGTATACAAAATGAAAATGGAATATTTATACTTTTCTTACTGCTTATATTTATTATTTTAAGGTTCTGTGGAAGAACAGTGGTATAAGTAGGATCTTTGTCTTCAAAGTCAAAAATCATCAAAACAGGATATTTTATGTTTGCAAACAGGAGACAGAGCTGACACACACTCATCCATCAAGCCTACTGAAAGGTTTTCCTTTCCAGCACCGACATATACAGTACATATACTAGTAAAAGGTATCATAAAAAGGGAGGTTCAATGATCTCATCGTACAAGGACCTTCATGTTCTTTATCCTGAGACATACATCTGATCCCCATGAGACACCGAGTGGCCTTCTGGACACCGGACATACACGTCACACGGTCATCTTATCTCAGCTGACATGTCATACATTCAACTTGTTGTACAAACGATATCGATGTAGTCGTGTGTTGTTTTGTCTGCTCCTCCCTCCTATTATCAATACATGACATTGCAGTTTTCCAACATCTTTTAAACGTACTTACATCCGTTCTACATCTCCATGTTTTCTGTGATTTTTATTCTTGTTTATTTGTATGTTTGCGCAGAACAAAGTGGAATGTAATAATGTGAAAGTAACAATTTTACACCTTTTTTTACATTGCAATAAATGTTGAATATTGAACTTCAAACTGTTGCGTTTTGGATGCAATCACGATTTTGCATTATCATTATTGAATAGATAGCCCTACAACATTGTCCACCAGCCACATTCGTTACAAATGTATTTATGTTGTACATACATGCTTGTAGTTTTCTTTCAGGTGAATAAAACAGACATATACATTTAAAGATTTCCAAGCATAAATTAAGACGGATAGAAAGAAACCATAAACAGAAATTTGTCCGCAAAAGGGATTTTCCCAACAACATAGTTATAGTTTTGTCTCATTTAAACACTCCAGAATCTATGAAAAATTAATTACAGTAGATTCATATAACGTTTATCTATATCGCATGTTGTGTCATGTCCACTAAAGGCATCACTCCTTTTAAACACACTTCAATAACAATAACCTCATTTCATTCCCCCACTTGGTTCAGATGTATGGCATTGGGTACAATCACTTTTTGGAATATCTGCAACTTAAATCAACCATTCAATTCAAACTTATCAAGACCATTAATCTAAGTTACCCCCCTCAACGTTACTATTAATTAATACCCAAAACCACCAGGTGCCCGTACTCTGCCCCCCCTCCCCAAATGCATCAAAATGTACCTTCCACCAGTTGTAATCCTCTTCTGGTAGACTGTAGTTCCTGGATAAAAGTGGTTGTGGAAACTTCCTCAAACCCTCAATGGCCAACGTATCATTTTCAAATAGACATCGGTCACAAGCACAGGATCTTTGTTCCTGAGGCGGAACGTATCGGGAGACTTCTCCCAAAAAAACACAGATGCCAGAAACACTCAGAAAGAAAATGAGCAGGCGAACAATTGTTTTCATCTTGGACGTGTGAGGCCGAATGGGAAGCCGCTCAAATCTGTAGATGAAGCCTGTGGCGAAACACACAAGGATTATGGTCAGTGGCGGAATAGGTTCAATCAACCACGCATCCTTTGGGGGGGGTCGCGTGTCCCCCCCAATATTGAGAAAACAGTAGTGTTCGCCCCCACACCCCGTCGGCCGTAGTGTCCGCGCCCCCCAATGTCTAAACCATGGTTACACCTTTGGGTTCAATCAATGTGTGGTGTTTTAATTCCAATTGTATCCATTTTTTACTTCACGTTAACATGAAGTATTGTGCTTTATTAGTTAAGTCTGAGGCTGTGTCCACAATGTTCCTGTGACGACTCGCAGGGACTGTGAAGATTAACTTCCTGTTTTTATTTCTGTAACCAGTGCATTTCTTGTATTTAGTTCCTCGCCCTTCGTTTCTCCCCACAGCTGAGTTTGGTTTGCAATTACCTCCACCTGTATTTACGCCTCAGTCCCCCTCTTGTCTGTGTCAGAGTATCTTTTGTCCCTTCCCGAGTTGCATGTTTTGTATTCTGGTATTCCAAGTGTTGGTTTGTGGTTATCTTGTTGTGTTACTTCTTTGCCAGGCCCTTTTCCTTTTTTTGCATTTCTACCAGAGCGTGTGAAGTCCGCCTGTGCCTTTTGTTTCACGTTACTTTTTTTCTGCAAGTAGAAGGTTCCAAACCTGGAAAGAAGTTTTACGTTGCCTTATTGCTCTGCACCCGAGTCGAAGTCCTGACGGCTCACAGTTCCCTTCTTCTCGGTGCCAACCGGCTTTGTTTGACAGCTCGGAGCTCTTTAATCAAGGAACGTCAGAGAGGCATGACGCGGAGTCAAAGGCGCGCGACCCGACGCACAGACACCTGATTGGACAATCCGGCGCAACTCCAATATTCACCGAGAGAATAAGATACCTGCCACCACTGCGATTTCGATTTTGAATTCATTAAAGATTGTTCTGGCAAATTAAATATCGTCTGCAGCCATTTATATACAATTTATAAAAATAAAAATAGTATAAACGTTGTTTTCCATTTCCTTGTGGAAATCCAAATCGACCTGTGAATGTGCGCAGCCTGAATTCCTGCTCTCCACACATTATTGAGTGTTGATTACCGACCACTGGAAACTTGATGGGTGGATATTAAAAGTAGCTCGTTGGGTCTCTAGTTTAATTCATCGTTATGACTGAAATGATACCTCGAGCGTTGTAAGTTACACTCAGACTGAGATTGTCACCACTGTGTCCATTCGCAAATAAGGGAAAACTCTCACAAACTGTCAAATAGATTGTTTGAAAATATAGTCATCAAAAGCGCAAAGCAGCCTTGCATTGGAAAGACAAATCAGCTCGTCTTTAACCAATTTATCTTTTATTTTTAGGATTGATTATTTATCAAAATAAAGTTATTGAATTTCCGTTACTGTAATATTTTAGTTTTGTCTTACCTTAACGGACGGTAAATTTTCTTAGTTATTTTGAGTTTAAAGTCTAAAAGACAACAATTGCCCGCAGAACTTGTCTCCGTTGGTGCGCGTTCTGGTCCGTGAGTCTGCGGCGGTTCAACAGGTGGCCGCTGGTTTGATTCCGCAGTGACTCAGCGCCGTGCACAGGTGTCAGCAGGGGTGAAAGACGAAGTCAGCTACGCGACAGGTACGCAGGGTCCGCCTCCAGGTCCGGATGTTAATCCGCTGTCATATTGACAGACATTTGTTATTCTTAATTTACTGGACGACATTTAGATGGGTCCCCCCCCCCCCCATCGACAGTTCCAGCTGCATTAAGCAATGGTTAAATAAGAAAAATAGAATTGTACAGTCTAACCAGGGAGCTGTGACGTTTTTTTTCCAGGAGGATGCAAAACACAAACCCCCTGCAGCTAGGGAGCATATTTTACATTAAATTACATCATATTTCTGTGAGAACGGCAGCACGAGAGTAAAATATGGAAAGCACGACTGAAAGACTTTTGAGCTTGTAAGTCTGGGGTTTAACACTCACTTTGCTGATAATAAAGCCGAGATATTCAATAACTGTCTCTGCAAACTGGTACCTTGAGGTGGTTACTTTTCTGCCTTCAGGTGATTCTTGTGTTCCTCTCAGGTGTCACTGTGGGTAATGGTGTCATCCTATATGGGCGACCAACGTGATCTCCAAAACCTGTTCGTAAAAATGTATACGAAAATCTTGAACATACAAATTCGTAGTGATACATACTAAATAAATACGGACTGCGACTGATGACGTCACCCTATTCAAAGTGAACGGGGACCTGCGCCCCGTAAACACACTTCTTGAAGTCTAACCATGTAAAATAAACGTGTTATAATTGCATTTTCAACGAGAAATTAATGTTAAATTGTGAGGATAGAATACTAACCCTAACCCCCTCAAAAAATCCAACATGGCGGAGAGACGTTCACTCAAGAATCCGACATGGTCCGCCATGTTGTTGCATGTAATGTGATTATAGGCTCCAGTAAAATCTGAAAAAAGAACAACTTAACCTGGTATGTTGATCGTTGGAATGGAGGCAAAATGAACGGGCACAGAACCACAGTGAACAGGAAGAAAACGGCCTCCTCGATGTTCTTCTTCATGGCGTAAAGGAGGTGAATAGAGAATACGGTTAAAAGACGGCTGAAAGAGAATAAGAGAAATTCTTAATGCCAGAGGCTGTGAGAACGAAGACACACACGGCCTGCAGATGGGGGGTAAAGAACATGTGCTGTAACACATAACTCAGTTTTTGTATTTCCCGCCTCCATTTTGTATTTACATTCAACGGTGCCTTCCCTGCCTCCATTGTGAAATTATTCTAACATGTTTTTTCCAATTATTAGGGCTGTGTGATTTTTCTGCCTGCATTTTAAACACTCCATAGATATTTTCTAGGCTCTCTGTGATTCTTTCTGTTTTAACATGTATAGAACATGTATGTTCTGTGGGTTTTCCGTGCATGCTGTTTTGTTTGTATAATTGTTTATGATTGTTCCAACACAATTTTCCCATTTATTGTCTAAACATTTTAACAATGGCTGAGTTTGAGAGACTCTCTGATTGGTGTTTGTGACAACGGAGGGAAACATTTAAATGAATGGGAAATAATGCGATTTGAGTAACAGCTGTAGATATTGTTGTACATAACGTAAAAGTTGTTATTTTCTCTTAAACTTAGTGATAGGCTGCCGAGTGTGCACGGTACATCTCATACAGCATCTTAATGATGGAACCAGATCATAGGATAACATTAGTAGTAGCAGTACAGAAAGGAAGCGCTCGCCAGTCGTCGTCCAACTTTGAGACAATGCAGAGAAGATGCTCCATGTTGTGAAACAGGGTAAGAATAAAGTTGGACACACACGGGGCCCCGCGAGACCAACCAGTATCCAGTGTTTTACTCCCACGTTTAAACGCCAGTAGACACAAATATCACATGTTGTCAGAATAGCTTGGTTCTCATGACAAGATGGAGAAACCAGGTCTCCCCGAAGCCACGGATGGATTGGGATTCGTCCAACCCAGTACTTCCCAAACAGGGGAGGGGGAGGTCGCCTTGAGACGTTGTCATGGTGACAGACTTTCACAAGCCACCTTTTAGGAGGTGAGGTCAATTAAGTCCTTTAGGAGTCAGGGTTTCGGGGGGGGGGGGCATGAGATTGAGCCTGTGTGTTGTATCATGTTACGGTACACAGACGATCAAATAGAAGTCCAGGTCTGACATCTACTGGTGAACAGCATGAGCGATACTGTCAGGCACCGAGGGCCTCATTTTCTGACGCGTTGGCGCCCACTAAAGGCGTAAATTCAATTCAACGATTCCTATTGTCAGTTACACACGCCCTGTGTATTGAAATTCCTGTACTTGCCCTTTCTGGAAAGCCAACCAATTTTAAAATAAAAATACAATATTTACATAAATGTGCATGAAATAAAAATGAAAATGAGGTAAGGATATGGCACAAATGAGGTAAGGGGAAAAGTGCAAAACTGAGCACGTTGTAAAAGAAAAAAACATAAATTAAATGAAACGTGTGCAATATAAATTAACAGTACAGTAACAGTAAGTGAAATCCTAAGTGCAGACCAGTTGTGAATTAGGCTATAGAGTCCTCTCAGCTGATGATGGCTCTATTGGCAGTGGGGAAAAAAAAGAGTTTTTCAGTCTGGTGGTCCTGCATTTGGCACCTCTGTACCTCCTGCCTGAGGGTAGAAGCGTGAACAGACCATGTTGGGGGTGGGTGGGGTCTTTGAGAATGGAGGCAGCTCTCCTGTGAACCCCGCGGTGGTAGATGCTCTGCAGAGAGGGCATTGGGGTCTTGGTGATCTTTTCTGCTGTCCTCACCACTCTCTGCAGGCGTTTGCGGTCCATGGTGGATGCGCTAGGGTGAGCGAGCACGTGTACAGAATAAACCCATAATGTTGCTCAAGCACCTTTTGGCCTTTGTTTGCCTACTGACGGATCTCCCGGTTTTGACCTTGTCTGCCCCGGTGATTAAATCTACTGGTCCCTCCCATCTTGGTCTGAGTCGTGCTTTTGGGTTCCATCGTGCACCGGTACCAGTAACCGTGACATGAATAGATGGACTCTGTGCCTCCCGCTCGGCCATATCCACCCCGTACGTGCTGCTCTTAAAAGGGGCCGCACCATTTTACATTACATTACGGGTCATTTAGCTGACACTTTTATCCAAAGCGACTTACATTACGTTTTTAACCCATGGCTTTTACATTTTGTCCGGGGAGCAATTAGGGGTCAGGTGTCTCGCTCAGGGACACTTCGACATGGGACATGGGGCAGCCAGGACTCGAACCACCAACCTTGTGGTTCCCAGCGCACCCTCTTACAACACTACCCCCGCTCTGGATGGCAATTACCTAACTTAATGCCACCCCAGCGCAACACACATCTAATTCGACCCAGCTCTTTTTTTTCCCCACAGGTACAGCCCTCATTTGCATAGTTCATTCAGGGACAACCCGTCCCGTTACAGGGTGCAACACAGCAATTTGCAGTCCTTTGAGCAGGGCACACATAGGGCGTGGGGCATTACATTCCTTTCCATTACAATCCTTGGCAAGACATTCATAAACTACACAAGTCATTTACTAGTCATAACACCACTTATGAGCATGTAAGAGCAACTAAACAGGAAAACATTTAATTTTGGCGAAGGGTTCCCTTCGGTTTTGGTTTGGGCACCTGCCGCCCAAAATGTCTATGCACGAGCCTGCTGTCCCACAAGTCGTTCGGCTGAATTTTTGATAACCCCGACCAGGCTCCAATTCTTGAACACGTAGTCTTACAGCCTGAGCCTGAGCCTTAGACTCGGTGTGCCGCTGCCTGCCTGGTTTGGTCTTGCTTTTCCCCGTTCTTGAAGAATTTCTGTTAATGGATTCAGGCCCTCAAACCTGTTTGTACCTTTTTGTGTTTTCCTCCTAATGGAGCGATTTTGAGTTTTGTGATCTTTGAACCAAATAAAGACGGCCTTTTTCGGTTCATTCTTCTCTTGGGTCGTCTCTTAAAACGTGGGCCTGACAGTCCCTGCGATTGGCTGGCGACCAATCCAGGGTATACGCCGCCTCTCGTTGGCTGGGATTGACTCCCGCGACACTGTGTGCAGGGTAAGCGGTTTGAAGATGGATTGTCACACAATTGACCACATCATAGTGTTATTTTTATCTTCACTGCATTTTTAATTTCATCTGCAGGTTATCGAACTGTCATTTCAGATCCTCCCACATCATCAGCTCATTACCCTCACCTGGTTCTCCTTGCCCTCACCCATGAAGCACATCCCCTCATCAGCCACTCACTATTTAAGCACGTCACGTCTGTTGTTCCCTGCCAGATTGTTTTGGCGAGTTTTCCAGCGTTTTCCCAGTTACCCCGTTTTACCTGTTTTGACCCTGCCTGCCTTTCAACCCCAGATTCTCTGCCTGCTCCTTTTTTGGATTTGTTCGCCTCCCTGATTGCCGCCCTGGTTCTGACCCCTGCCTGTTCCCGTCTACGGATTCCCTGCCTGCCTCTCTCAGATTTGTTTCCCTACTGACGGATCTCCCGGTTTTGACCTTGTCTGCCCGGTGATTAAATCTACTAGTCCCTCCCATCTTGGTCTGAGTCGTGCTTTTGGGTTCCATCGTGCACCGGTACCAGTAACCGGGACATAAATAGATGGACTCTGTGCCTCCCGCTCGGCCATATCCACCCCGTACGTGCTGTTCTTAAAAGGGGCCGCACCATTTTACATTACATTACGGGTCATTTAGCTGACACTTTTATCCAAAGCGACTTACATTACGTTTTTAACCCATGGCTTTTACATTTTGTCCGGGGAGCAATTAGGGGTCAGGTGTCTCGCTCAGGGACACTTCGACATGGGACATGGGGCAGCCAGGACTCGAACCACCAACCTTGTGGTTCCCAGCGCACCCTCTTACAACACTACCCCCGCTCTGGATGGCAATTACCTAACTTAATGCCACCCCAGCGCAACACACATCTAATTCGACCCAGCTCTTTTTTTTCCCCACAGGTACAGCCCTCATTTGTATAGTTTATTCAGGGACAACCCGTCCCGTTACAGGGTGCAACACAGCAATTTGCAGTCCTTTGTGCAGGGCACACATAGGGCGTGGGGCATTACATTCCTTTCCATTACAATCCTTGGCAAGACATTCATAAACTACACAAGTCATTTACTAGTCATAACACCACTTATGCGACCAGAGCATGGAAGAGCAACTCAACAGGAAAACATTTTATTTTGGTGAAGGGTTCCCTTTGGTTTTGGTTTGGGCACCTGCCGCCCAAAATGTATTTATTTATTGCCTGTCGCAAAACAAATGTTTCCCCGGGCTGAGCCTAGTCTGAGTTGATTCAGTTGATTCTTCACCTCGGCTGACCTGCCTTGGCACCAACAAATGTTGCTGAGCAGGTTTAAGCACTTTGACAGGTGCTTGTCTTTCACTAGACAGATTATACAGCGCTGAAAAACAGTTAAGTTATAAATAGATTTTCTAAATAGCCGGATGGAAAAAGAAAGGTCGCAGCTCCCTGTAGAAATTAGACTGAGAATTAGGATGTAATTCTATTTGTCTTATTTAACCATTGCTTGATACAGCTGGAACTGTCCCCTCCATCGATAGTGGGGAAGAAACCTCTTACCTTATGCTGAAACTAAATGTCGTACAGTAAATTAAGATTGTCTGTCAATATGACAGCGGATTAACACCCGGACCAGGAGGCGGACCCTGCGTACCTGTCCCGTAACAGACTTCGGCTTTCACGCGCACCTTCCTTTGTGAGACAGACAGGCAAATTTCTCGTGACATCTGTGCACGGCGCTGAGTCACTGCGGAATAAAAACAGCGGCCACTTGTTGAACCGCCGCAGACTCACGGACCAGAACGCACACCAACGGAGACAAGTTCTGCGGGCAATTTTTGTCTTTTAGACTTTAAACTCGGAAAAGTGTGGTTACCGTCTGTTAAGGTAAACTAAAACATTAATACTTTTTAATGAATAATGCCAATAATTATAATCCTAATGACTGTATTAGTCTCCTTCTACTGTTGGTTATCATAACAGCAATGAAAATACAATAACTATTATGTTTTATTTTTGATTAATAATCAATTCTGAGGATAAAAAAATATATATATGTTATTAATTTGTACGGCAGCCGTAACGTCTAACATAAAGACGAGCTTGGCTTTCCAATTCCAAACTGCTTTGTGCTTTTGATGATTGTTTGTTCAAACAACCTATTTGTTTATAAGAGTTTCCCTTATTTATTCTCAGTCAAGTGTAATTTACAAGGCTCGAGGTATCATTCCAGTTATAATGATGAATTAAACTAATTAATATTCACCACCGGAGCACAAATGAGAGACCAAACGGAGTACAGTACAGTACTACAGTACTGTTAAAATGAAGTAAAAGACTGATGAAATTGTAATTACAATACCACACATTTATTGAACCTACTTCATAACATTCCGTCACTGACCATTATCCTTTTGTATTTCACCCCAGGCTTTATCTACAGGTTGGAGCGGCTTCCCATTCACACTGCCGCACCCAAGATGAAAACAAAAGCGCGCCTGCTCATTTTATTTTTGAGTGTTTCTGGCGTCTGTGTTTTTTGGAGAGAAGTGTCACAATACGTTCCGCCTCAGGAACAAAGATCCTGTGCTTGTGACCGATGTCTATTTGAAAATGATACGTTGGCCATTGAGCGTTTGAGGAAGTTTCCACAACCATTTTTATCCAGCAACTACAGTCTGCCAGAAGAGGATTTCAAATGGTGGAGGGTAAGTTGTGACCTAACAACATAACAGTCTCTCAACCTGCAGTTTAAATCCGGATCAGAAAGTAAAATACCTTCACGTTTGACAGTCGCATTTTGGGGATTCTCTCAGCTGTGTTATCCCCTGTGCTCCTTACCGGCCTGGGACCACTAGTAATGTTTGGTGCTCCTGACAGGTCATACAGCGTGGAGGCGGTAACATCAGTGAATACAGACAAAAGATGTCAAGGATTTTTCAGCTGATCCCAGACAACCCTCCTCTTGAAGCATCCATCCCCGGCCACTGCAGGACTTGTGCTGTGGTGGGAAATTCACGTAATTTGTTAAAATCACATTACGGACCTCTCATAGATTTCCAGGACTACGTCATAAGGTAAATGAGCTGAAACAAGTATGAATGTTTTTCATCAAAGTCAGAAACTATGGTTCAAATCACATGTCAGTTTTGTTCCCGACAATAACATTGACTTGTGAAATACATCCTTTTGTACAATTTAGAATCAACAGGGGTCATTCCAAAGGCTTTGAATCCGATGTCGGGAACAGAACAACTCATCATGTCATGTACCTGGAGAGTGCTTCTCAGTTAGATAACACCACTCGTCCGGTGCTGTTTACCTTTAAGATGAGGGATCTGCCATGGATTACGAGGGTCCTCAGCACACAACCTTCTGGAAAGTGAGTCATGTTTTTCATTTCAGCTCTAGTCTAGATGCTACGGTTTGTCTTCTGAAGCTGATGTTCCAGCCTGCTAAAGTCCACCAGCGGTACTGAGGGAGGAGTTGTGTTTCATTTGTGGTGAACCGTAAATCCATAAGATTCAGGGCCACATAACATGTCACTATTATCCAACCCACCGTTGTCATGAACTTTAATCCGATTGAACAGAGCACTATGAAATCCCTAGTGATTGTACAGCATAAAGCGACTCAACCCTCTTTGAATTGTATAATATCAAGCTGTTAGTTTGTAGAGGTTTTACATGGATTACTTCTCTAACGAGGCCGCCAACTCCAAACATGGCAGCGGGTTCATTTGAATGAATGCTACTAGCTTTGTATATTCCTCTGCATTCCCACCACCACTTTAGAGGAAATAAGCACGAGTGAAGACGGCCTCTGTTCACTTACAGGTACAAATACGCCACAAGCGTCCCTCACAACTGACCATCCGTTGGGAAAACCACTTGCTCCTGATACTAAGTAATATTTGCATAATAAATTCTGTGCATGAAAAATCTTGCAGCATAATTTACATGAAATTCAAAAACGGAGTGTTGGTGGTAGTTTTTCTTTCATGTAGTTAAAGGAAAGAAGCTGTTTCATTGAATTTCTTTAAAAAGTTTCTATGTGAAATAAGACAGGTTCATTTAACCGCTGCTTTACATACAACCAATAGATGTTTGAGTTTGACATTTCATGCTTTTTTCCCCATGTGCCAAGAAAATCCTTATTCAACAAGGATTTGGTGAGTATTATTTTATATGTATTCAACAATAAATATGCTCCAGAGGTAATGGTTGATAAAATACATTGAAAGACTAATTCTGATTTCATAACAGGCGATGGTCGTTAACCCAGCTTTTATGAGGAATATTCATCAAGTGTGGCTGCAAAAGAAGGGCGCTTATGCCTCCACCGGCTTCATGGCTTTGGCTCTTGCCCTGCACATTTGTGACGAGGTAAGTTTATTTTTAAATGGAGTGAATGTAAATCCCTGATGATTGACAAGTGGAAGCTAATTTCGATAAAGAACAAATCATGTAATCTTGTTTCATTTAGTGCGATTTATTAAAGCCTCTATCACGTCTTCTGATTCTGAAATTGCTTACCAATGGTTTCCAGGTCCATGTGTTTGGTTTTGGAGCAGACAGTGATGGAAACTGGAGTCATTACTGGGAAAAAGTCCCCAACAAAAAAATAAAAACTGGAGGACATCCTGGAAATGTTGAGTATGAAATGATCGAGGAGCTGGCAAAGCGTCAAATACTCAAATTCTATACAGGGTGGTAATGTTTGTCTCAGCATTTCACCAGAAAAAAAAGACTAAGAAGCCTTCAAGAGACATCACTTCTCAGATCAACTGCTCTAACGGAACTAACGGAGACCGAACTGACTCTACATGTGTTGTGAGTCTTTGTGTGGATGTTGGTGTTTAAACTACACAAACTGACATTGACCCCAAATGGATTCCAATTCACTGTAGGATCCCAGCAGGACATGAGTTTCTCTGCTTCGTTTTTTTTTTGGTTTATGATCCGGCTCAAAGGCCACAACAAATAGAGGAAACCACGCTCTACTACTACAGGTACTATCAGAAAAGGATGTTTATCTACCAAAGTAATTCAATTGAACGGATATAACAAATTTCTTTTTAACGCTTAACAACTGTGGCTGGCAAAACTTAATGCCAGATTAACTAAACAAACAAAACACAGCAAAGAAAAACGCCATTGTGCTGGTGACCAGGAGAATACAATCCAATCTAGAGACAGTGGCCAGCTGCCTCTGATCTGCCTGGTGGCCTCAGCTCCACCAGGAAGTTCACCCTGTAACAAAAGACAGACAGAGACACACCCACAAAAACCCTGGCAGCCGTCCTGGGGCTGTCACATTTTTTTATAATGCACCACATAAATAGTAGTAGTAGGGAGTTCTGGGGATAAAAAAATGTACCAAAGTTAATAAAAATATTTCAAAGACAATTCACATTGTTTACTTGAAGCTACCGTTTTTATAATGTCTAATCACACTCAATTTATATTCATACGGTATCAGTTTTGAATGACTGATGTGTTACTGACTTTAGAGACACTAAGAAATAGTCAAGCTCTATGCACAGGTATACTATTATAGATTAAATAACCATCTGTAGTGTCTTCTCGATTGTGACAACCATATTCTAATGCGTAATGTAAACTAAAAGTTGTATTCTTGCTGATATACAAAGAAAAAACATGGGGCAATGTATTCATCCAAATGTTTTGCCTTTTCTTCCTCTTTTATTCTTTGTCCTCACATGGTTTCAAGTATCTTTTTTGATTACAGTTCATGAAAACAAAATTTAAAACAAAAACAAATAGATTCAGTGTAGCCAGTGTAACATTAGCATGTTAGATTAAATAACTGCATTCTGAGTCAAACACAATTTATAGTCATTTAATTGTTATTATTAAAAAAACTTTAATGATGATGATTTTATGCATGCTATGTTATGTTAACATGAAGAAGCTTTAAGCCAGAGCTGTGATCATTGAATGTACTGTAGTATCAAATGAATAAACATCGGTCAGGTCAGTGATGGATTTCAGATGGAGCCAAGGGAGAGAAATACTTTGGAGTAAAAGAAATTGAGAGGGAGGAAGAACGTTTGGATGTGCAGCCAATCACATCCGGTTGCATCAAAGGACAGAGACATGAAGAGCACCATTAGAATTCTTTTAGAGCCAGCTTGATGAGTCGCTTTAGATTGGGACCAGGGGACTAATCTATTTGGATAAAAGTCAGCTAAATGACATGTAATGTAAAAGCACAGATGGGATTGTGTAACGTTTTGCACCTCTGTTGTTTAGCTTCAAGTCCATATTTCTAGTATCATTTGTATCTCATAAATATCAAGGACATGATTGACAGAGAAATTTGTTCTTGTTATGAATGCCGACAGAAGAGATTTGTTCTCAGGGCTTCGGATTAACAGAAGCTGAACCAACAATTAAAGTTGGTTTAAGACTATTCCAAACAAAGTCACAGATCTAAAGAGCCTTTATTTGCAGCTATTGGCTCGGAAAAAAATATAATAACATGAAGAAGCTTGGTACGTTTCTTGAATTTTTAACCTTTACTATTCAAAGTTAGTATTCAAGTCTCGACAACATTTAACTTAAATACTAGTAGCTACTAATCCTCTGTAAAATTACAGGCATAAATTAACAACCTAAATTAACGTATTCTTTTTACAGTATTTTACTTCCTTCTTAAATTACATAAAAATAACTAATTATCTGTAGCTAAATATCCAGCTCATTATATAAAGGTTTATATCCATACTAACAATTTAACAATTTTATTGGTTTTAAATCATAGGGTAGCTTGAACGTCAGACATGAAAATCAGCATGCTAATTTATTAATTTGTCTTAGATGTGCAATGTGATGGGGAACACGCTTTTAAACTTAAAAGTTCAGTTGGTACCCGTGTCCACATGCTGAATTTTTCGGATCACGACACCTTTTTTGTGGCGGGAAAATCACTCGAGGTCAATATGGAAAAGAAACTTCCCCTCATAAGGTCTATTCCTATAACATCTGTGGGACTGCATGCTTTTCTATAACGCTCTCCTGGCGTGACATCAGATGGAGTGGGTGGGACGGCCCCAGTTAATCAAATAGTCATCCGAACATAACAAAGGTGCTTCTTCCTGATTCTTTAACGCCACAAATGGAGACGCCTCATTAGACTGACGTCATGTTTTAAATTTGAGTGTAATCTCATAATAAGTTATGAGACAGGCAAACCCGCCTTATTAGACTGTGCTCAGCGCCATAGTGGAATAACACCAGCCACTAGTTAACCTGCACGCACACCAACGGAGACACCTCTTCCAACCAAAACTTCTTCATGCAATTTTTGTCTTTTAGACTTTAAACTTAAAATAACTAAGCGGGTTTACCATCTGTTGAGGTAAGACAAAACTAAAACATTAATAGCTATTAACTGATGATGAATAATGTCAATAATTATAATAGTGATGAGTGAATGATTCTTGTGTTTTATTTAAGAAATAATCAATACTGAGAATAAAAAAAACTGTTATTAATTAATAGAGCAGCTGTATGCGCCTGATATAGAGACAAATTTATGGAGTTAAGCTCTCCAATGTCAAACTGTGCATTTGATATGTTCAAACAACCAAAAATAAAACTTTTATTTCAGACACAAGGTCCAGATGGTAAAACAAGACCTACAAATAAATGCCTTATGAACAGACAACTGTACCAATATCTCCACAGTTGAGACAGGTAGAAAATAATAAAATTTTTTTATTGAGCCACCTAATCAACGCTCATGCTTTCCTATGTCATATTCTATTATGTGATGATAACAATACACCGTGTGTCAGATTTCGATGCGCTCAGACCGTCACGTTAAGTCCCGGTGACAGGGAGGTTTCCAAAAACCAGAACTGCGGACCAGGAATATAAAACGACCAAAAGACTTAAAATGACTTAAAATGACTAACGATCCGACCAGGAGACAAGGGACACGTCATTGGACACAGCACGAAACAATCAGGGACAAAGTAAACAGTCACAGAGGGCGGAGAAAACACAGGAAAGACAACCCATGGAAGCAAGCAGCAGGAAAATTCAAAATAAAACAGGAAACTAGTCGCTTGAGCCACAAAAAAAGTCATCAAAGATCATTTTAAAAATTATTTTAAAATTACATTTTAGAACTAGTCGATATGTGTCTATTTATGTTTTAGAAACATGGACTATATATAGTAATATTTGTAAATTAAGATATCTGTGCAAAATATATGCTTTTCCTGCACGTCCTCTCCGCACGTCTCAGCTTGGATCGGGCCGTGTCCCAATGCGACCGGTCTAAGAAGCAGGTAGCCAATCACTAACTAGAGTTAATGAGTGACATATCATTTCAGAGCCCTAAAATACATTGAGATTTGGGCCATTTCTTCGCCGCCCTACACTGCGCTCTCGTCAGGGCGAAAAGAACTTTGCCCGAGAAACTAGAGGTGAAACACCTGGAATCAGATCAGCCGAACGTCCCGATCAAGACTTCTACACCCGGCAGGTTTAGCTAGCTACTTAGCTACGCGCTAACGCCGTATTTACGCGCAACTCGCGCATTACTGTTTGGAAGTGAAGGTTGGTTGGCCGCAGCGATAACCTCGTCACGTTGCTGTGTTAAAGTTAAAAATCACTACCCAGCTGTGACGCACACAGGACTGCGGTGAGGACACACAATCAGGATGGGGCTGAAAACAGGGAAATTTTATCGAAAATAATTAATTGAGTTAAGTTACTTGTTCTAATATATTTTATATACCTATATTTATATTGTAATTTATTTTCCCTTTAATATAAAATATTTATTATATAATATTTTTATCGGATATTGAAAAAAGTTATGGTAGTTATATCATATTCTGAATATTGATGTATATATATATTCCTTAATATACTGAATTGTTTGAATAAGATGTCCTTATTATGTTAAACTGTTGGAATAACTATTAAATATTTAACTGTAAAAAAATTATGCAGGGAAATTATTGATATCCTTGAAACTGATTGGCTGGTCCTAACAAAATCCACCAGCCGCCACTGAAACAAACCCACATCGTGACAGTGACAAATCCACATACTTGCATAAATAACTGGTTTCTGTATAAGAAGCATCCTATTAATATACAGATTTCCTTTTATTAAAAATAAGCTACCTCCAGTTTTTATACCTATTTGTATTTCAATATATACAATTTTGCAAAGAAATGTTTCTATCTCTCAATATTACTGTTTAGATGGATTATTGACATCTGAGCACAAACCACATCCAAGGGCGATTCAACATTAAGGGCGATAAAAAATGTTCAGGATAGAAAGAAATAATGGCAAAAACAAGCTTCTAATCCATTTTACTACAGTGACGGCAACAGCAGAGCGTCTTTCAGAGAAGTTCTCAAATTTCAAATTTGAAGAGATCTGAGCTGTCAAACTAAGCAGGTTAGCACTGAAAAGAAGGGAACATTGTGCACACCGGCTTAAACTTATCTCAACCTCAATGAAGTACAATACTTACTGTTAAAGTGAAGCAAAGGATTGATGAAATTCTATGCAAACAGACTACAATACATGCAATGCATTTATTGAACCTACTTTATAACATTCTGTCATTCACCACGTTCATTGTGTATTTCTCACAGGCTCTATCTACAGATTGGAGCGGCTTCTTATTCAGCCTCGTACATCCAACATGAAACCAATGGTTCGCCTTCTCCTTTTCCTTCTGAGTATTACTGCCATCTGTGTTTTTTGGGGAGAACACACACTATACATTGCGCCTCAGAAACAACGATTCTGTGCCTGTGACCGATGTCTATTTGAAAATAATACGTTGGCAATTGAGGGTTTGAGGGAGTTTCCACAACCACTTTTATCGAGGAACTACAATCTGCCAGAAGAGGAATACAACTGGTGGAGGGTAAGTTGTGACTTAACAACATAACAGTCTGTAAACCTGCAGCTCAAATCCAGATCAGAAAGTTAAATACTTTCACGTTTGACAGTCGCCATGTCTGGGTGGGGGGACGGGTGGTTGGCAGGCCAGGGGACGGGCACCTGGTGGTTTGGGTAATGGGGCATAGAGCCCCATTTTTCAATGCAACAATAAAACATGTTCGGTTTGTTTGCCAAGTGGAGCTCATTCTTGTAGTGGGAAGTTTGGGGATGCTCTTAGCTGTGTCATGCACACTTACTCATGCACTCACTCTGGCATCATCCCCCGGGAAGCAATAATGGATTCAATTAACCTTTATTCGTTATTAATCGCATAATTTAGTTCATGAAGCAGAATTTAAAACTCTCATGCATTTCAAAATATAATCAAATATTTCAAAAGACTGTGAATTTGTGTAGTTTGTATGACTCACGTGGTCTAACGACTAGTATGTTTGGTGCTCCTGACAGCGCCTACAGCCTGGAGGCGGAAGCATCAGTGACTACAGAAAAAACATTGAAAGGGTTTTTCAGCTGATCTCAGACAACCCTCCCCTTGAAGCATCCAGCCCCGGCCGCTGCAGGACATGTGCTGTGGTGGGAAACTCTCGTAATTTGTTAAAATCACATTACGGACCTCTCATAGATTTCCAGGACTACGTCATAAGGTAAATGAGTTGAAAGAAACATGAAGTGTCAAAATGTTTGTCTGTTTTTCCTGACAAAGACATTGACTCATCCCTTTGTACCATTTAGAATTAACAGGGGTCATTCCAAAGGCTTTGAAGCAGATGTTGGGAACAGAACAACTCATCATGTCATGTATCCAGAGAGTGCTTCTCAGTTAGATAACACGACTCATCCAGTCCTGTTCACATTTAAAATAAGAGATCTTGAATGGATTACGAAGGTTCTCAGCACACAACCTTCTGGAAGGTGATTCCTTATTTAATTTCACTTCTAGTTGAGATTCTACGGCCCGTGCTCTGAAACTGGCGTTCCAGGCTGCTAGTCACCCCCAGTGGTACCGAGGGAGTTGTGTTGTATTTGTGGTGTGATGAACAGTAAATCCATAACATTCAGTGGAAAAAAGAACAAAATAATTTTTACTTTAGCTGAGTGTTGAGGGCCTTCGGTCATTTCACTTATTTGGATATGTGGCTCTTCCATCCACTCAAGCTTTTTTCCGGCCCCCGCGAAGGTCCTGCAGGTGGGCCGCGAGAGGTCATTTACAATAAATAAATAAAATATTTTTAATTTTCAATTAGCCCTGCGATAGGCTGGCGACCAATCCAGGATGTACCCCGTCTATCGCCCGAAGTTGGCTGGGATGGACTCCAGCTCCCCGCGACCCTGTGTGCAGGATAAGCGGATTGACAATGGATGGATGGATGAACTTTGAAAAGTTTAAAATTAATATCCAAATATTTATGATGCGACACATTAGTTTTGTGAAACATTAGTTGATGATTGAGCAGATTAATAAAACAATAAGGCTCTCGCTCGAAACAGCTGCTCTTGTCCGCCTGACGTCATTCAACAAAAGGCGCCGCCAAACAAAACAATGTCAAATGCGGCGCCCTCTTGTAGTATTGAAGTCAATAAACCGCATTTTCCGCACTCCAAGGCGCCTTTAAAAGCCTTTAATCTTCTCAAAAAACGACAGTGCCTTATAATCCGGAGCGCCTTAAATATATGGATCAATTGGTTAATCGGTTGATCCACACTGGTTGTACACGGCGCTCAAGGCGCTCTGCCAAACACGCCAAAGCTCGTCTACGACGGCGAGATGCTGAGCGGCGCTCAAGCGCGTGAGATATGGAGCTGCTTTCAGGGCGCGTCGGAGAAACGAAGCTGTCGTTCTCGCCGAGCACTTCATGAGATTAAAGAGCGAGAGACGGCGCCCTTTTCTCTACAGTAGCTGAACCATCTTAACGGGGAAATAAGTTATTCTAAAAGGAGCCCTTGGCAGGCGGCGCGGCTGGAGAGCAGCCGAAGATTTAAGGGGTGGATGGCGAGGGGGGCGGCGGGAGCGGACGCACCTCGCAGCATCGATCAGACCCTGAAAGCACCGTCTCCACCAATATTCTGCCAACTCTACCGAACTCAGACGCCATGCGCTGAATTGACAGGTGCTTGTGGAAGTGGGAAACTTCGGAGATTCATGTGTGGTTGATGAATGGTACATTTTCAGATAGTTAATTGGTCGTGTTCTGCGATTCATGGCAAGTAGGATCCAAAACAGCTCGTTAAACAGAACGTTGTCTCTGGTTTTACATCCAATCTTAAATTTAGTGAAAAGAAAGGGTTGATTGTTAAGTCTTGCGTGCGTCTCCTGAAGGCAAGGCGGTTGAGGAATCTGTTACTCATGATTAAACGCCCTTCCCACTTTTGTGCGCTAATTTTTATTTTGAATACATTCTTGTTTTTTTTCAATGTTCAAGACCAAAGCTTAAACTTTCAGGTTCACATTTGATTTTCAAATGAACAAAACTTTTGACCTGGATTTTGCTCCATGAATTTTATTCTATTTTTTGAGTATTGTCTTTTTTAATGACTTTTTCTTTTACGTTGCAAAAAATATTATTAACTGTTTTTAATTTTCTTGCTTTATGTTGGGATTTATTTAATGGTTTTTAATGTGAATCATTTTGAATTGCCTTGCTGTTGAACTGTGCTCTACAAAAAAAATTGCCGCCTTTCCTTGCAGGCCTCTGCATGCTTACAGGTACAAACACACGACAAGCGTCTGTCACGCTGGCTCCACTTGCTCCACTTGCTCCACTTGCTTCTCATACTAAGTCAAATGTTCATAATAAGGCCTCTGCAGGAAAATTCCTGTAGCATAATTTAGATGAAATGCAAACATTGAGTGCCGGTGGTACTTTCTGGATGTAGGCAAGAAAACAAGCTATTTCATTGTATTTTATTTAAATGTGAAATAAAACAGGGGTTCATTTAAAAAGTATCTCTTCTTTATCTACATACTACTCATTTCGACGAGTTTGACATTTCATGCTTTCTTCCACATGTGCCAAGAAAATCAAACTTCAACAAAGATTTGGTGAGTATTTTTTTATTTTTTTTTACACATATTAAACAATAAACATGATTTGGTCGAAAGGTACTGGTTTATAAAATGCATTGAAAGACTATTTCTGGTTTCATATTAGGTGATGGTCCTTAACCCAGCTTTTATGAGGAATATTCATCAAGTCTGGCTGCAGAAGAAAGGCGATTATCCCTCCACTGGCTTCATGGCTTTGGTTCTTGCCCTGCATATTTGTGACGAGGTAAGTTTATTTTTAAATAGAGTGAATATCGTGACTAATGATTGACAAGCTCATTTGTAATGTGTTATTTAGCAAGATTTATTGAAGCTTTTATTTTATCTTCTGATTCTAAAATTGCTTACCGATGGTTTCCAGGTCCATGTGTTTGGTTTTGGAGCAGACAGTGATGGAAACTGGAGTCATTACTGGGATAAAGTCCCCGACCAAAAAGTAAAAACTGGACCACATCCTGGAAAAGTAGAGTATGAAATGATCGAGGAGCTGGCAAGTCATCAAATACTCAAATTCTATACAGGGTGGTAATGTTTCTCTCAGCATTTAACTTATTTAAGGCTTTACAACGGATCGCTTACCAAGCAAATGAATGCGAATGAAGCGAAGGAAGGCGACGACCGAACAGCCCGTGCTTATTGTCACCAATGTGTTTTTTTGTTTGGTAACTCGGCTGTTATGTTGGAAATTGAGTCAGACAATAGATGACGCATTTCCCGTCAAAACTCGCTCAGCAACATCCGCCAACGGCAACAGAGTTAACGTTGGGATTTTAGAAAACAGTCTTTGGCAGATGAATGTAAGCCAATGATGTTCAATTTACTTTATTCAACCCGTGGTTTCCTTTTACGCCAGGTGAAGTGCCATTGTGGAGGCTGGCTTGAAGTCTTCTTTTTCTGTTTGCCTCGCTGTCCCTGTTCTTGTTTGAATGTGTTCACAGTTCCTATCTATAATCATTCAAGATTAACTTCTATTTATATAAAATAGAAAAAGGTATACAACATGAAAATGGAATATTTATACTTTTCTTACTGCTTATAATTATTATTTTAAGGTTCTGTGGAAGAACGGTGGTATGATATGGGGGACCAAAGAGTAGGCAAACAGGAGACAGAGCTGACACACACTCATCCACCAAGCCTACTGAAAGGTTTTCCTTTCCTGCACCGACATATACATATACTAGTAAAAGGTATCACAAAAAGGGAGGTTCAATGATCTCATCGTACAAGGACCTTCATGTTCTTTATCCTGAGACATACATCTGATCCCCATGAGACACCGAGTGGCCTTCTGGACACCGGACATACACGTCACACGGTCATCTTATCTCAGCTGACATGTCATACATTCAACTTGTTGTACAAACGATATCAATATAGTCTTGTGTTGTTTTGTCTGCTCCTCCCTCCTCATATCAATACATGACATTGCAGTTTTTCCAACATCTTTTAAACGTACTTACATCCGTTCTACATCTCCATGTTTTCTGTGATTTTTATTCTTCTTGTTTATTTGTATGTTTGCGCAGAACAAAGTGGAATGTAACAATGTCAAAGTAACAATTTTACACCTTTTTTTACGTTGCAATAAATAATGAATATTGAACTTCAAACTGTTACGTTTTGGATGCAATCACGATTTTGCATTATCATTATTGAATAGATAGCCCTACAACATTGTCCACCAGCCACATTTGTTACAAATGTATTTATGTTGTACCTACATGCATGTACTACATGTAGTTTTCTTTCAGGTGAATAAAACAGACATATACATTTAAAGATTTCCAAGCATAAATTAAGACGGATAGAAAGAAATCATAAACAGCAATTTGTCCGCAAAAGGGATTTTTCCAACAACATTGTTATAGTTTTATCTCATTAAAACACTCCAGAATCTATGGAAAATTAATTACAGTAGATTCATATAAAGTTTATCCATATCGCATGTTGTGTCATGTCCACTAAAGGCATCACTCCTTTTAAACACACTTCATTAACAATAACCTCATTTCATTCCCCCACTTGGTTCAGATGTATGGCATTGGGTACAATCACTTTTTGGAATATCTGCAACTTAAATCAACCATTCAATTCAAACTTATCAAGACCATTAATCTAAGTTACCCCCCTCAACGTTACTATTAATTAATTTCACCTCTTCAAAAAAATGTACTTCACAAATCTGTAGAATAATATCACAGGCTGACAAAACATCATCCATACCATTAAGGAAATGGGAGTTTGACTTCTCCACATATCACATATCTCCTTCCCTATGCGTACTGGGAGACATCTCAACAATAAACCTGTGCAAAACAAACCGCCGATTACTCCTTGTGGCAATAACTGTTGTTATCGGTATGTTCTTCATCTCAAAAGGGGACACGCACACGCACACACACAACTACATGCTCATACATGCCCCATTCTCCCATATCCTGACTATATGTTTGTTGGTTTGTAGTTCACTCATTTGTCGTTCGCTTGTGGTTGTGTCTATGAATCGTCCCTTAAAATGAAATCTTAAAAAAAAAAGAATTAAGTGTTAAGCCTTAAACCAACTTTATTTGTTATATCAGGTTCTGTTTAGTTACTTGTTGGATGGCTCTCCGGAGCCCTGAGGGCAAATGTCTTCTGTCAACATTCATAAGAACAAAGAAAGTCACCTGAGTTTATATGTTCTATATTTATGACAAACGTGATGTACCAGAAATACTTGTTGACTGGACAAGGGCCTCGTCGACAACAACAAAAAACGTTAATCTGCTAATCAAAAACTGTTTGCCAAAAGTAGCGACAGCACAAAACAAGTCTTCTAGAAAAAAAAGCAAACATATTAAAATATACAAGTTAAAAATAGCGATTGCGGCATTCCTCTCCATCAAAGGCGTTGTCATGGTGACGGACACATGACCTTTTACAAGGTGAGGTCAGTTAAGTCCCTCAGGGGTCAGGGGGGACATGGGATTGGGACTGTGTGTTGCAGCGTGTTGTGCACGGATGATGAAATAGAAGCACAGGTATGACATCTAGTGGTGAATCTACAGCATGAGTGACACTGACACACGGAGAGCGTGCATGTTGGGAATCTCCACCTTGTTTATCGTGGTCAGGGGAGTTGATCTGAGAGGAGATGTCTCTTGAAGGCTTCTCAGTCTTGTTTTGCTTTTTATCCAAAGCGACGTATAATAATTTTTATTCAACCAAGAGGGAACAGACCCAGAACAAGAAGAATCAAGTAAGTACTTTTTTTTTAGGCAAGTCAAACTATTAATATTAAAGGAGCCCGGTCCGTTTACCTGGGCTGCTGAGGTGTTGCATTCCCCCGGATTGGTCTGTATGACGCGCTGTTCTGCCAGCCTCAATCACCCCTGCGTTCATCTTGGCTTGCAGACATAATCCACCGACACGTATGAGTGTTGTTGATCTTAGTTTTATTTGCTAAACTGTTTGGTTCCCAGTGGAACCAACTCTCTCGTGCCGCGACAGCAGTCAAAACCTATTCGCTCTCAGCTCTCAGAGTCCAACACCTGATGTCAATTGTTATCCAATCAATTAGATAGAAAACTAGTCGAGGTGTAGTCGGTAGAGGTGGGTTTTTAGTTTGCATCAGAAGAGTTTACCACCCCTTATAGAATTTGAGTACTTGATGCTTTGTTAGCTCCTCGATCATTTTATACTCTACGTTTCCAGGATGTCTTCCAGTTCTTAGTCTTTTGTAGGTGATTTGTTCCCAGTAATGACTCCAGTTTCCATCACTGTCTGCTCCAAAACCAAACACATGGACCTGGGAAAACATTTTCAGAATCAGAAGACGTGATAAAGACTTTACTGAATCTTGCTCAATGACACAAGATTACTGCCACGGTTTGGGTTTATTTCCTGTTTAATTTTGTAGTTTTCTGCCTCTTATGTCTGCGGGTTAGGTTCACTTCCTGCCTTGTCCTGTCATCCCCTGTGATTGTCTGACTGTTTCCTCCTGTGTCACCTGCACCTGCCCACTGTATTTAAGCCATGTGTGTCTTTTGTCCCTCGTTGTGTCATTGAATGTCTTTCCTGAAGAAACCATTTGTGAGTTCCTGGTCCTTCTCCGCGTCTTGCCTCCAGGCATTTTGATTTGAATTTACTGAGTACTTTTGTTTTCAACTCTGCATTTGAGTCCTGCTTCCGGCAACAATTACAATTACGACAATTACGTGATTTGTTCTTAATCAGCATCAGCGTCTACTTGTCAATCATCAACATTCACTCCATTTAAAAATAAACTTACCTCGTCACAAATATGCAGGGAAAGAACCAAAGCCATGAAACCGGTGGAGGGACAAGCGCCCTTCTTTTTCAGCCACACTTGATGAATATTCGTCATAAAAGCTGGGTTAAGGACCATCACCTGTTATGAAATCAGATTTAGTCTTCCAATATTTTATCAGTCACTTTTGGAGCATATAATGTTTATTGTTGAATTCATATAAAAAAATTAAACTTACCAAATCCTTGTTGAATAAGGGTTTTCTTTACACATGTGGAAAAAACGAATGAAACGTCAAACTCAAGCATCTGTGTAAGTAAAGCAGAGAAGCTTTAAAAATGAACACTTGTCTTATTTCGCATGTAGATGTTGTAAGTTGGAAATGCTAAGTTAGTTGTTAAATTAAAACAACCCCCCCTTTTTTTCCTTGTTAATAAATGCACTCTTTCAGACGTTATATTGAGGTATTACACGATCACGTCAGTAGGAGGCGCTGTGGTGCTACAGGCTCCGCTCATGAATGAGCTCAGAATAAAACTAGCTCTGGCTTGAGCATGACGCTAACGTGTGTCCTCTCTCTTCCTGTGTAACTTCCACCGGCAAGGTGTTAAGTGGATGATAGCCAGCAACAGTAGCTTGGATATTAGTGACATGTCATGTGGCCCTGAATGACGTTAGCAGGCTGGAACGCCATCTTCAAAAGAAAGACCCCAAAAATGGCTCACTTTGATTGTTGTGTGCTGAGGACCCTCGTAATCCATCCAAGATCCCACATTTTGAATGCAAACAGCACCGGATGAGTGGTGTTATCTAACTGAGAAGCACTCGTTGGATACATGACACGATGAGTGGTTCTGTTCCCAACATCTGCTTCAAAGCCTTCGGAACGACCCTTGTTTATTCTAATTGGTACAAAGTGATGCATTTCATGAGTCAACGCCTTGGTCAAGGAAAAAACAGACGTGAAATTTGACACTTTCTTTCTGACTTTGATGGAAAACATCGTTCATGTTTCTTTCAGCTCAATTACCTTATGACGTAGTCCTGGAAATCTATGAGAGGTCCGTAATGTGATTTTAACAAATTACGAGAGTTTCCCACCACAGCACAAGTCCTGCAATATCCGGGGCTGGATGCTTCAAGAGGAGGGTTGTCTGGGATCAGCTGAAAAACCTTTTCGATCTTTTTTCTGTAGTCACTGATGCTTCCGCCTCCAGGCTGTAGGCGCTGTCAGGAGCACCAAACATTACTAGTCGTTAGACCACATGAGTCATACAGACTACACAGATTGGCAGTTGTGATATTGAGAGCCAGGAACTTATTTTGAAATATCTGTTTGTATTGTGAAATGCATGAATGTTGTATTTTCTACTGCATTAACTAAATTAAGGGAGTTTTCCTTGAACATGAGACAGTTTTGAGCTGCAGGTTGAGAGACTATTCTCTTTAAAGGTAACAATTTACCTTCCACCAGTTGAAATCCTCTTCTGACAGATTGTACTTCCTGGATAAAAGTGGTTGTGGAAACCTGCTGAAATTCTGAATGGCCAACGTATCATTTTCAAATAGACATCGGTCACAAGCACAGGATCTTTGTTGCTGAGGCGGAACGTATTGTAAGACTTCTTCTCCCCAAAAAACACAAATTCCAGAAATACTCAGAAATAACATGAGCAGGCGCACTTTTGCTTTCATCTTGGATGTGTGAGGCCGAATGGGAAGCCGCTCCAATCTGTGGATGAAGCCTGTGGTGAAACACACAAGGATTATGGTCAGTGGTGGAAGGTATAAACAGGCAACCAAGTCTCACAGCAAAACGTGTAATAGCAACACGTTTTAGTTGCATCTAGGTCACGTGACTATCAACTTCTCAAATTTTTTGTTGTTGGGAAATTTAGTTTAACTTAATTAAAGTTGACTATACGGTTTGGTACAATTTACTTGAAGAACTAGATTTAAAATCCTTTCAAATGTAAATGACCATTGCAAACGCCCAAATCAAGACTACATCAAATGTATATGTACAGCCACCTGTATATATACAGCACAGTATGTAAGTATGTAAAGCTCCTTTGGTATGAAAATATACGCAATTGATTAAGACAAAGTCAAACAGAGTTGGTCATTGCATATAACTGGTGCAGGTGTATTTTGTTGTCCATTTAGTCAAAATGCTTTTGACACGGCCAACGGAAATTTCACGGTCCTTTCATTTTTTTTCCACTGTGAAGTTACTGTCCCAACTACAAAAGATACCTCCTTAACCTTTTCACCGGCGTACGTCCTACAATCAGTACCGGTACATTACATTATTTTCTTGGCTGGATCATGAACCACTATCCATTCTCGACTGGATCGCCACTTTTCATTGTCTGTCTTTTCTTTTGGCTTTTTATCATTTTAGCTTTTCTCATCATTTTTTGTCTTTTGTGTGTCTACCCTCTGGGTTTCCCTACACCTGCTCTGTGTCTGCCCGACAGCCATGATCTGTTAAACAAGTTTTTATCTCCAAGCACGTCTTGAACAAATTCATAACGTATTTCTTTTTGGTTATTAATCAAAAATAAAGTTATTGAATTTACTTACTGTTATTGATAAGAAAAAGTACAAGGTGAAAAATCCAGTCATTAGAATTAATTATTATTATAATTTTTGGCATTATTCAATAAAGAGTATTAATGTTTTAGTTTTGTCCTACCTTAATGAGTTCAAAGTCCAAAAGACTAAAATTTCACGCAGAACTTCTGATTTGGAAGAGATGTCTCCGTTGGTGTGCGGAGGTTGAACAAAGGCGCTGGTCTTATTCCACAGTGACTCAGGGCCGTGCACTGATGTGACGAGTGACTTGCTTGTCTGTCTCACAAAGGAAGGTGCACACGAAAAATGATATCAATCAACTGTACGACATTTAGTTTCAGCAATGTATGAATCATTGGAATGGAGCCCCAACAGAGTAACTATGGACCGACACAGAACCCATTTGTACAGAAAGAAAAGAAAGCTTTGCTTCCTCAATGTTCTGGATGGATCAATAACAGGGGCAAGTTTAACATTGCTGTAAACAAAACAAAAAAGGCCAAAATAAGCTTTTATTCCATTTCACTACGGAACCTCAGGGCATTTTCAATTTGAAGCGATCAGATCGACCGCACAAAAAAAAGTGGTGATCAGAAAAATGGTACCAACTTAACTTTAAAGTTTAAAAGCAGGTTTCCATTCACACTAATTTCACATATAACACAAACACAAATTGCTGATTTTCCAGTTTTGCATTCATGCTATCTTAACTGGTTCACCTGACATTCCTAACAGATGATGCATTCAACACACCTTGAAGAAAAACACACATTTAAAAAACAGCTGCCTCTATTCATAAGTCAACTGAAGGTTTTCAGCGCTGTACAACATGTTTAGATAAAGACCAACACAAAGTGCTTAAAACGATACATTTCTAGCTAAAACAGGCCTTCTAAACCAACTAAGCGCATAGATGTGTCAAGATTCAAGATCAAGACGAATATTTTTATTGTTTTTTCCACACATTACACAAACAACAAAGAGACAAAACAAAAACAAGGCACATCTGAAAGTACATATGAGCATAATTATAAATGTCAGTGACATGATTTGTTGGACTGTTTCTCAGCAGACACACAAAAAAATTGCTCATATGTGCAATCGCAGATACTGATCATACCCCAAAACTAGAATGCACCCTAAACGGTATATATACCGTTCGGCTACCGGTTACAACAAAGTCTTCTCCCTCCAGAAACTCAATTTTTCACTTTTTAGTGATGTTCCACTCTGGCTGGCTGCAGATGCTTAAACCTCTCCCTCCTCATGGTTCTGCTTCCTTATCAATAGGTATCACATGGTTTCCCACACAACAGTCTTCTCGTATTTCTTTCCCTTCATAACCCGCTCAGCAACATCTGTTGGTGGCGAAAGCAGGACAGCCTAGGGGAAGTCTGCGCATCAGTGAGACGTCAAGTTGTGGGCTTGCCCTCCACGTGACGAGTTCGACTGGAAAATCCACTAAAATGTGTACAGATACCAATGCAAACCAACGATTTTCTATTCTATCAATTTACATTATTCGACCGACTGATTGTTTTGCAGTTTCCTTTTCTTCAGGGGTCCGTTTCAAGTAGGAGGTTTAACAAACTCTTGTTGATTTACCCTGAGATGGGAAACTCTTTTGGGAGTTTTGGGTTTCAGAACAGCTGTTTATAGTTGGTTCAATCAAGTCCTAATATAGTACTATATATAACTAATATAATCATAACCCATACGTTTTACTAATTCCCAGTGGGACAATAACATTTTTTACACTCTGTTAGAATGCACTACACACCCATGCTCATATTTAAAACAACATCGCTGATAAAAAAAAGGTCCTCAGCACACAACTTGAGGACAGTTTTTGATGACTGATGTGATACTGACTTTATACAGACAGTAATAAATTGCAAAGATCTATACACGGGTATACTATATAGATTATATAACCAACTGGAGAAGGGTCTTCTTGATTTTGACAACCATATTGTGACCATTTATATCCTAACCATATAAGTAGTAATGTGGACTAAAAGTTCTTGCTAATACAAAGAAAAAACATGTTTTGCCTTTCCTTCCACTTTTATTCTTTGTCCTCACATCGGTCTTAGTTACAAGTATCCTTTTCTACTATAGTTTATGAAAACAAGATTAAGAAACCCCAAATAGATTCAGTGTAGTCCCGTGAAATGAAGGGAACTGGGCCAAGGTATTTACATTCAAACTTCTTCAGCAAAGTGGGGCACTAAGAGGGGGGGAGCGGAATGGCCATGCAGCTGCAGGTTTGGGATGGCTCATGAGAACACGCCCAGGTGAGTTGATTGACAGCTTGTGCTTGTTGACTAACTCGTGGCTTTTCGGGTTCATGGTGTGTGCGACTGAACCGGGTGCAGAAAGAGACAGAGGTAAACAGAGGACCACGGTGTGATCGTTGTCCTTTCCTACGGCCCAGGTGTATCAGCAGTTTTTTAAACTTAAAAGTTATCCACACGTTGAATTTTTCTAAATCCTCCACCTTTTTTGTTTGTTCTGTGCCTTTGTCACTGTAACGCCTGTTGGACTGCATGTTTTTTCTAACCCTGTCATGCCGTGACATCAGACGGACTGGGTGTGATGGTTTTTCAGCCAACCGAATAAAGGTGCTGTTTCCTGATTCTTTAAACGAAATGGGACACATGGAGACGCCTCATTTAACTGACGTCATGTTTTAAGATTGAGTGCAATCTGATTAGGTTAAGGTTTATTAACTTTCATGTCGGTGTTTTGCGGCCGACCATCCTCCTGGAAAAATCCTGAGGAGCAGCATCTCAGCTCCCTGTAAAGGTTCTAATGGAACCATCGGTTAATACAGCTGGAATTGTTCCTTGTACATCAATATGGGTTTATATTGTTGTTAATTATAAGAATAACAATTGTCTGTCAATATGACAGCAGATTAACATCTGAACCAGGAGGCGGACCCTGCGTGCCTGTCACGTAGCTGACTTCATCTTTCACGCGCACCTTCCTTTGTGAGACAGACAGGTAAACCCCTGCTGACATTTGTGCTCTACGCTGAGTCACTGCGGAATAAAGCCGACCACTTGTTGAACCTCCAACGGACCAGAACACACACCAACGGAGACACCTCTTCCAAATCAGAAGTTCTGCGGGTAATTTTAGTCTTTTAGACTTTAAACTAAAAGTAACTAAGTCAGAAATCAGGAATCAGGAAAATTTTATTGCATAATATGTCAGACTTACAAGGAATTTGAGTTGGCGGTTGGTGCGTAACAGCAGAAAGTATGACAATGGACGGAAGACAACAGTGCCCGAGGAATAAAATAAAATCTAGTTTACTATCGGTTAAGGTAGGACAAAACTAAAACAATAATACTTTTCAACCGTACGAATGACTGGAATATACTGCCTTTTCTTATCATAACAGTAACAAAAATATAACAATCAATCCTGATAATAAAACATGAATGTTATTAATTCATACGGAAAATGTATATATCTGATATAAAGACGAGTTTATGGAGTTTGGCTCTCCAGTGTCCAACTGTGCTTTTTCACGATTATATGTTAAAACTCCCACAAAGTTTACAGGAGTTTCCCATATTCATGAATCTACAGATAGCTAACTAACTCGTCTTACTATAATAACTTATGTAAGTTATTAGTAGACAAATTTCCCATTCAGATTACCAAATTGGAGACCTGCAGCTGATATATAACCTTTTACTCAAGATTATTAGCAAAAAGCTACCTCCAGTTTTTATAAACTATTTGTATTCATCTATACGTTTTTTACGCCCAACGGTGACATTTCTTGAGCAGTATTCGGATTAAAGGCAAAGATTAGGTGGTTTCTGAATTTCTTCACTAGGTTAAGTCATGACCATGTTTCAAAAAACATTTTTTAAGAGCTAACTATGTCATAAAATTATATAGAGCCGTATAAGATTTGATCAAAAAAATGTTTCTTTCTCAATGGAACTGTTTGGTTGGATTATTGATACCTGAGCACAAACCACAACCAAGGGCGTTTCAACATCAGGAGCGCTAAAAAAACTTCAGGATAGAAAGAAAACATAAAACAAAAACAAGCTTCTCCTCCATTTTACTAAAGTGACGGCAACAGCAGAGTCTTTCAGAGAAGTTCTCAGATTTCAAATTTGAAGAGCTGTCGAACAAAGCGGGTTAGCACTGAAAAGAAGGGAACATTGTGCACACAGGCTTAAACGTATCTAAACCTCAAGGAAGTACAATATCTGCTGAAATTGTTTGCAAATACAATACCACACTGATTGAATCTTTAATTATTTATTCATTTATTTAGCAGACAATGCACACTAATCAACAGTTGTACTGTAAGTGAGCCACAGTTAGCCAGTTAGAGAGGCTAATTTCCATCCGCTCCCGGCTAAATGTTTTTAAAAAGTATCCAAAAAATCCCAAAAGAAATTAAAATGAGTAGACAAACGAACACAACCTAAAGAAAAGTGTGCGACAATAGACTGGAGCAACCAGCTGCAGAGATGAAAAGAAACGCTAAGAAAGACATCACAGCATTCCACTAGAGAGCTGCCTTAACAAAGAAGTGTAGATTTGCTGAACCAGCTTGACATGTGTGAAATCTGCTCTGACAGCTTTGTTTCTTCATAACATTCCGCCACTGACCATTATCCTTTTGTATTTCACCCCAGGCTTTATCTACAGGTTGGAGCGGCTTCCCATTCACACTGCCGCACCCAAGATGAAAACGAAAGCTCGCCTGCTCATTTTATTTTTGAGTGTTTCTGGCGTCTGTGTTTTTTGGAGAGAAGTGTCACAATACGTTCCGCCTCAGGAACAAAGATCCTGTGCTTGTGACCGATGTCTATTTGAAAATGATACGTTGGCCATTGAGCGCTTGAGGAAGTTTCCGCAACCATTTTTATCCAGCAACTACAGTCTGCCAGAAGAGGATTTCAAATGGTGGAGGGTAAGTTGTGACCTAACAACATAACAGGCTCTCAACCTGCAGCTCAAATCCAGATCGGAAAGTAAAATACCTTCACGTTTGACATTCACATTTTGGGGATTCTCTCAGCTGTGTTATCCCCTGTGCTCCTTACCGGCCTGGGACCACTAGTAGTGATTTAGGTATAAAACGGTAGCTTTGGACGGACATGTAGATCCACACTCACTTATGCACTCATAAGCAACCCACTGCATGATGCTCCTGGAAGAAAAAATACATTTAATAAATGATTATTTATTTGTCAAAGGCATAATCCCTCAATTTAGTTCATGCAGCACAAAATACAACATTCTCAAATTGCAAAAATATGAAAAAATCCCAATATCATAACTTCCAGTGTGTAGTTTGTATGACTCCTTTGGTCTAACGGCTAGTATGTTTGGTGCTCCTGACAGGTCATACAGCGTGGAGGCGGTAACATCAGTGAATACAGACGAAACATGTCAAGGATTTTTCAGCTGATCCCAGACAACCCTCCTCTTGAAGCATCCATCCCCGGCCGGTGCAGGACTTGTGCTGTGGTGGGAAACTCTCGTAATTTGTTAAAATCACATTACGGACCTTTCATAGATTTCCAGGATTACGTCATAAGGTAAATGAGTTGAAACAAGCATCAAATTCATTCCAAATTCACTGTGTTCTACTGTTTTTTCCCGACAATAACGTTGACTTATGAAATACATCCTTTTGTACCATTTAGAATCAACAGGGGTCGATCAAAAGGCTTTGAAGCAGATGTTGGGAACAGAACAACTCATCATGTCATGTACCTGGAGAGTGCTTCTCAGTTAGATAACACCACTCGTCCGGTGCTGTTTACCTTTAAAATGAGGGATCTTCCATGGATTACGAGGGTCCTCAGCACACAACCTTCTGGAAAGTGAGTCATGTTTTTCATTTCAGCTCTAGTCTAGATGCTACGGTTTGTCTTCTGAAGCTGATGTTCCAGCCTGCTAAAGTCCACCAGCGGTACTGATGGAGGGGTTGTGTTTCATTTGTGGTGAACAGTAAATTCATAACATTCAGGGCCACATAACATGTCACTGTTATCCGTTCATTATATCTTTGCTTTACTTACATGCAACCAATAGATGTTTGAGTTTGACATTTCATGCTTCTTTTCACATGTAGAAAGTCCATTCCAAGAAAATCCTTATTCAACAAGGATTTGGTGAGTCTTATTTTTGATGTATTCAACAATAAACGTTAGGTAATGGTTGATAAAATACATTGAAAGACTAATTCTGATTTCATAACAGGCGATGGTTGTTAACCCAGCTTTTATGAGGTATATTCATCAAGTGTGGCTGCAAAAGAAGGGCGCTTATGCCTCCACTGGCTTCATGGCTTTGGCTCTTGCCCTGCACATTTGTGACGAGGTAAGTTCAGTTTTAAATGGAGTGAATGTTGTTACTCGCTAATGATTTACAAGTGGAAGCCAATTTCGATGAAGAACAAATCACGCAATCTTATGTTATTTAGCAAGATTCAATAAATTGCTTACCGATGGTTTCCAGGTCCATGTGTTTGGTTTTGGAGCAGACAGTGATGGAAACTGGAGTCATTACTGGGAAAAAGTCCCCAACAAAAAAGTAAAAACTGGAGGACATCCTGGAAATGTTGAGTATGAAATGATCGAGGAGCTGGCAAGGCATCAAATACTCAAATTCTATACAGGGTGGTAATGTTTCTCTCAGCATTTAACTTATTTAAGGCTTTACAACGGATCGCTTACCAAGAAAAACAAGACTAAGAAGCCTTCAAGAGACATCGGGACTGAACTGACTCTACATGTGTTGTGAGTCTTTGTGTGGATGTTGGTGTTTAAACTATACAAACTGCTTCAGAGACATTGACCCCAAATTGATTCCAATTCACTGCATGATCCCAGCAAGACATGATTTTCTCAGCTTTTTCTTATTCCTTGTCTTTTTATTTTAATGCACCACATAAATACATTATTGAGTTCTGGAGAGAAAAAAAGTACCAAAGTAAATAAAGATAGTTCAAACACAATTCACATTGTTTACTTGAAGCTACAGTTTTATAAGATCTAATCACACAAGATTACAAGAAAAGTTAATTTATATTCATACAGTATCAGTTTTGAAAGATTGATGTGTGACTTTAGAGACACTAGCTTTGCTATATGCTGTATTGTTGCTATACTTAGAAACAAAACAGCATATAGCAAAGCTCTATACACGGATATACTATGTAGATTATATAACCACCTAAGTGTCTTGTCAATTGTGACAACCATATTCTAATGAGTAATGTAAATTAAAAGTTGTATTCTTGCTGATATACAAAGAAATAACAGGGGGAAATGTATTCCTCCAAATGTTTTGCCTTTTTTCCCCCCATTCTTTGTCCTCACATGGTATCTTTTTTGATTATAGTTCATAAAAACAAGTTTTAAAACAAAAACAAATAGATTCAGTGTAGCCTCGTGAAATGAAGGGAACTGGGCCAAGGTATTTACATTCAAACTTTGTAGTTCTTCAGCAAAGTGGTGCACTAAGAGGGGGGGGGGGATGGCCATGCTGCTGCAGCTTTGGAATGGCGCATGAGAACACGCCCAGGTGAGTTGAATGACAGCTTGTGCTTGTTGACTAATCGCGTTGTTCACGCTGTGTGCGACTGAACCGGGTGCAGTAAGAGACAGAGGTAAACAGAGGACCACGGTGTGATCGTTGTCCTTTACTACGGCCCAGGGGCCTGTTTCAATAAGGAGGTTCAACCAACTCTGAGTTAAAACTTGAACTCTGAGTTGACTTACCCTGAGATGGGAAACTCTGAGTTTTCGGTTACAGAACAGCTGAAATGAGTTAGTTCAATCAACTCTGAGTTGACCTACTCTGAGTTAAGCGCGTGCACCACAACTATAAAAAGCCATTATCAATGGAGCGCAGATATTACGAGTCACCATGGCAACAGCGCCAGACAAAAAGAGGTCTTCATATTTTTCACCAGCAGAACTGGATGTGCTTATGCAAGCATATGGAGAGTACGAACATATATTTAAAAAAAAAAGCAACACGGCTGCAGCGGCGAAGGACAGAGAGTTAGCTTGGGAGAAAATAGCTGCTCGAGTCAATGCGTAAGTTTACATTTGAATTACTGTTATACAGTGTTGTGTGTAATTAATTTCTATGTAATCTAAAAACTGTAATTTAATTCCGTAATTTAAAGTAAAATCTGATGTAATTGCATTAAATGCTGCATAAACTATAAAGCAATTCTGTATAAAACAATAGTGGATTTAACATCAAATTTTAAAAGATATATTTTTTCAAGAATAATTCATGCAATTGTATAATGTTTATTTGAAAGCATTAAAAGTGCAGTTTCTTGTCTCTCCTTGTATTGTTCAAGTGGTTGAGGTTGATATGGGATTTAGAAAGTAATTAGTAATAAGTAGACCAATACTTTCTAGAGATAGTCATTATTACATTAATCTAATTACACTGTTGAAGAAGCCAGTTGTAGTTAGTAATATAAGTGACTTGCCCAACTGTTATAATATCAGAAGTGAAACTGGAAGAACAGTGTGTTATTCAACCTAATTTTAATTTTCATGTAGGTGCAATCCTGCAGGCATTAAAAGAACATGGCAGCAGCTGAAAATGAAATATAAAAACATAATTCAATCAGGTAAGGCTTGAACATATCATGGTTGTAGTCTACCTGACTTTACAAACATTTGACATATAAATAACTAAATAGCATCCAGTGTCGATTTGATGCGCTCTGCGTGACTGAAATGTGCGCAATGAATGAATACCGAAAGAATGAATGAGGTGATTAAATACCACTTCCTCTTAAAAAAAGGGGAGGAGACGAAATAAACTCTGGGTTTCCCGAAGAAAACCTGCTCCCGACCAGGTTAGGTTCACAGAGTAAGTTGCCATGGTAACTGACTCTGAGTATAAGTTACCTCTCTTTCTGAAACAGGCTTGACTTACTCTGCTTTCTCAGGTTTAACGTACCTCCCATTCTGAAACAGAAAACTCAGAGTTTCCCTCATTTCAGGGTTAACATACTCAGAGTTTTCACTTAACCTCCTTTCTGAAACAGGCCCCTGGTGTATGAGCAGGGGGGGTATTCCAGAAAGCGGGTTATGTGAAAACTCAGAGTAAGTTAACCCTGCGATCAGGGAAACTCTGAGTTATCCGTTCCAGATAGAGAGGTAACAAACTCTGAGTCAATCACCATGATAACAGACTGAACATAACCTGCTCGATGGCAGGTTTACTATAAGAAACCCAGAGTTTTTATCATCTCCTCCCACATGAAGAAAGCTGGTAGACATGGATTGCCCTTTTCTACCAAATGCAATTGACATCGAAGCCTTAGTGATTCGAAATGCTTCACGTCGCGGGAGAGTCTTCCGACCCAGATTAGACGTTTTATCATTTCCAGAGGAATTTCTGTTAGAACGCTTTATTGGTAACTAGGAAACATATGGACGACATTTAATTCCTACAGTTCCACATACAGATTTAACATGGTATTGACCGAAAATCTCACGGTTTCAAGCTGTGCTGTGGGTTGGTGATGCCCAACCATGTTCTGTTCAAGGACAAGAATGTACTAGTTAGCCATTATCTATGCTCATCACTTCGGTCTACATGTCAAACTCCAAATTCCACTCTAGAATGTGAATGAGCAGAGCACTGCCGGTAGATAATATTAAGACACACTCTCTCCCAGTGGAAGCAGACAGCGTTTCATCCTCCTCATCATCATCTTCCTGTTACTTAAGTTACTGTTTCTGAAAACTTTTAACTACCATCTAAGGCAAGATCTGAGTATCTGCAGGGTTTACAACTGTGCAGATGACACCACCTACAACTGTTGGGTGGGTGGATATATATTAAATAAAAAGTAGGATAGATATCTATATATCTATATATCTATATATATATCTATATATCTATATATCTATATCTATATATATATCTATATATATCTATATCTATATTCACACACACACCTATATATACAGATATATCGTCGTGGCGCAGGGGTTAGAGAAGGTCTGCTGGGAAGCACAAGGTTGGTGGTTCGAGTCCAGGCTGCCCCATGTTCTATGTCGAAATGTCCCTGAGCAAGACACCTAACCCCTAATTGCTCCCCAGGCAAAAATGTGAAAAAAGCCATGGGTTTAAAAGTGTAATGTAAGTGTGATGCTTTTGGCTAAATTACCTGCAATTTACAATATATATATATATATATATATATATATATATAACAGGCCCATTTCCAGCAAGTATTACTCCAGTCTTCTAACGGTACCAAAACTGTGTCCGTCTAAGTGGGATTTTCAATGAAAAGACGTGCAAAAACAACATTTTATTAGGAGTTTGATTTACTATTTCAAGTAGCCACTGAATTAATATTTACTTTGTTTAATAGCCAAAGTTAATTAATAATAACTAATTAATTAATAATAATTAAAGAAAATGAATTAAAATTAAAGTGAGGTGCAATCATAGCATATGCCATACCTTTTTTAACTATGTTTTTATATTTCATTTTTAGCTGCTTCCAGGTCCTTTTTTCCCCCCGTTGGATTGCACCTAAATGAAAATCAGATTTAATTCCTACTTATATTCATATCTATAGGCTGCGACGATCTTACGGTTAAATGTTATGTCAATGGAACAGTTCATTCAAACTTACGCGTTGACTCCCCACGCAGTTTCTCTCTCCTTCGCTGCTGCAGCTGTATTGCATTTGCGGCGAAATATATCTTCATGATCTCCGTAGGCCTGCAGAAGGACCTCCAACTCCATCGCAGTGAAATAGCTTGCTCTTTTATTTACTGTTGTCATGGTGACTCGTAGTATCGGGGCTCATTGATGATGGCTTTTTATAATCGTCATGCACGCGCTTAACTCAAGGTGAACATACTCCGAGTTGATTGAACTAATGCAGATCAGATGTTCTGGAACCAGATACTCAGTTTCCCATCTCAGAGTAAGTCAACTCGGAGTTCAAGGATAGACAGGGATAGAGTTTGTTAAACCTCCTTTCTGGAATACCCCCCAGGTCTTCCTCTCAGCCCCCCCCGGGGTGTCTGAATGGGATCTTTTATGGCCTAGCCACGCCGGCTCAGGTGTGGCTCATCCAGCTGATGACCCTCCAAGCAGCACCTGTAACAACAATCACAACCACAAGCCTACCTGGGACGTGGGAGGGTCGTCACACCACCTCCCATAAAAATAGGGTTCCCATCAGGAATCCCCACACAACCTGAAAATATTTCCAGTATTTGCAAGCCTTCAAAACTACACTTTTAATAATACCCATTGCCTATAGCTTCTCACGGTACTCACAGATCTGCACTGATCTTCACAGTTGCCCTCCAATCTCCTCTCTGAAAGCGAGTACCTGTAAATGCAGCTTTGAAGTAGCAGAAAAGAAGGAGATGGACAACTGTGAACTAGAGAGAACAGCAACAATATTTTTTGAGCCACTAATGTGGCGAATTTCCAACCAGTAGGATTGCAGGAATAAGAACCATCGCATCAACCGGCGGTTCAGGCAACACAAGGAATGAAGAAAGGTGATTGGGTTATGGTCTGTATAGACCACCAAAGGGACCCCAGAGTCAACATAGACCTCAAAATGTTGCAGCGCCCACACAAGGCCAAGAGCCTCCTTCTCTATGACCGAATAATTCAACTGGTAAGAGTTACATTTTTTTGAGAAAAAACTCACTGGGCGCTCAACACCATTTTCATTATACTGAAAGAGCACATCCCCGGTTCCTACATCACTTGCATCCACTTGCAACTCAAATGGACGCTCCATGCAAGGGGCCACCAGAACAGGAGGTGAATACAGGACAGAACTTAACATTTACAAAAGCTTGCTGACACAAATCTGACCAGAGGTACTTTTCTCTAACCTTCAACAGATTTGTCAGCAGGGCTACTACTGTTGAAAAGTTTCTAAAAAAACTGCGATAATAACCCTCCAGACCCAAGAAGCGCATAAGCTCTTTCTTGGTGGTGGGCACTGGATACTGCTCAATTGCAGACACTTTTGCCTGCACCGGCCTTACCTGCCCACTACCTTCCCAAGGTAGGTGACAGTAGCCTTTGCAAACTCACACTTTGCCAGGTTGATAGTCAGGCTGGCGTCTCGCAGTCGATCAAACAGCTTCCTTATGCGGAAGACATGTTCTTCCCAGGTGTTGCTGTAGATCACTACACATACATCAAGGTATACCGCACACCGATCCAGTCCCGACACAACCGTGTTCATTAGACGCTGAAAGGTTGCTGGTGCATTCCGCAACCCAAAACTCATCACTGAGTAAGAGAAAAGTCCAA